AGGAATGCACTCTGAGTATTAGGTTTCAATTTAATCAAGAAATATATATCATACTGATGTTAAGTTATACCAGTTGGGTGACAAAGTATTAACAATTGGTGTGCCACAAAGGTTATTTTATACATGACTTTTAATTTACTATAGGTGGGAAAAAGTGGTCACAACAAAAAGGCCATCTTTATAGACTGTGGTTTCCATGCAAGAGAATGGATCTCCCCTGCATTCTGCCAGTGGTTCGTGAAAGAGGTTGGTAAACACAATAAAGAAGGTTTTCACAAAAACAGAGTAATAAACGTGATGTAATAAACATGAACCAAATACAATAACAGAATTAAAATGCTGTTATTAATAGATTTTCTTCAGTTGGTACCTGAACCAAATACCAAATTCAGTTAGATTGACCTACTTTTTCAGGTTTTTCAGGAAAGAAGGTCAGGCTGAAACTTTTTTTTTGTTTAATCCAAAATAAAACAACCACCTTTTTTGAAAAATATTTGTATCAAATTTGAAATAACATTTTCATTCTGAAACGAAGTAAAAAATATTTTGAGATGTTCTGAGTTTTTTTCCAAAAAAATTTTCCCAGCTAAAACAGATCACTGAATTTGACCCAATTTGTAAATGATACACCCCACCGGAACTGCGATTTAAGCTTCACTGAACAAAAAATTCAGCCTGCACAATATATAATCTCATACAGATCAGTTCTTAGCAGTTTCTACTCCACTGTTTTCTATTTTTATTTTATTTTAGATTCGGGTTGCTAAATTATAACTTTGGGCCTATTCTCCCATGATGTGCAGTGTGTATATATTGTAGGCCAGTTCCTCACATCTGGTCCTGTGGCCCCAGTGTAGCTTGATACACTTCCCAGGGATGCCCCAGTCACATTGACTTTGCTTGCAGCAATCCATATAACTTCTATTCTCATACAGTTTGGAGGTGAGGCAGGGGGCAGGTGGAGGGGAACACAGGGGAATAGATAAGCAAATGTATCCATTTTAATTCTGCACCATTATAATAGACAGTGACACTACAATTCCTGTCAGGCTTCTGGCTCAACTTGTGACGTGGAAGTTTTGTCATCAATTCAATGGTACATAATTCAGCCCCTTATGTGATCCTAATGAATGGGAGAAGTCAAGGTAAACTATAAAAAGTTCCTCAATATGCATCTTAGAAGTAGGATGGAGCCTTTTCTTCCTAATGCTTCAGGTATCTGGGTTCCTTGGACTTATTCTTGTTTTGCAATGGAAAAAGGGTGAGATTAACATTCCCCTAAATAAAACAAGATGATTAAATAAATATGTCCCAGTGATAGGGAGGATACAGACATCTCTCCCTACATTTTCTATTCAAAAGGAAAAATATTATATTTTCAGTATATTCTCCCCTAGAGTTATGACTTAAAGTCAATATTATGTATTGACTTTAAATATGAATATTTAGCAAAAGAATTATACATTCAATATGTTTTATTTAATAAAAATAACAATTTTCTGAAACTGGAAAACATCTTCTAACGTGTGTTCACAAGTAAAATGAGGTTCACATGATTAATTCTTAAATGAAATATAATATTTTATTCTCCTCCTCATTATATTGCCTGGGGAACTGGGGAATGCTGTACACATAGTCTTTTCTGTGGAAAGAAAGAAATATCACATTCAGCACGACAACCTCAGTTTTCAGATACTGTTTTCTCAAATGTAGTAAAAGTTCCTGTTCTTAAAGTTCTAAAAGCAGAAGCAGCAGCAGGTAGTTAAAATCCAGATAGAGGAAAACCAAAGTACCTGAATGGATCATGCTGGCATAGACAGTGATGACAAGACTAATCTTTCTGTCCTGTGAGACATCCATGCAGTTGTGCATAAGGAGCAGTGGAAATTGAAAGTGACATCTGAGTCAAGTTGATGGGAATGTGATCTCATTAACTCCCAACAGTAGTGCAAATAGCATGTGTTACCATTATTCTTTTAAATTTAAGTCACAGTAACTATTTTTCTTATTAGTTGAAACAGTCAATCCATGAATTTAGTTGGTAGCTGGTGCCTTTCTACAGAGGATTCAAGATACAAAGAAATGCATTAACAGGATCATCTTTATTTATTTATTTGATAGTAGTACTGGACACAACAAAAGTCCAAAGACAAAAAGGGAAGGGAAATGTTGAGGAGACTCTTAGAGAATATACAAAAGACAGAGAGAGGCTTTTGCAGATCCTACATCTAACCTACACTTATGTACCCATCAAAAGCCTACAGGTCTCATTTTCCAGTGTTGTACAATTCAGTAGTCTTAATATCTGTGTAAAACGATTGAAAATTTCAGATTACAAGTACAGCTTTCGTATACCTTTCTAACAGTCATTTTACACAGGCATATATCCACAATCAGGAAATATAAGTTTACTGCTGGAGTCTTGGTATCTGCTGCGTGCAGAGGGAAAAAATAAGGAAATTTGTCTCTGCAAGTCACATATGTTACCATGCTATTGCAGCTGTAGTAGTAGATAGAGAGCTCTGCCCACCGGCATATTGATTTGGGGGACTGCCAGAGAATCAGTGATTCTTCTTTGGTCCATTTTTATGTATAGGAATAATGGTGGTTTACAAGAGTATGGCTGTAATTAATTTAATCTGGGATTTATTCCTTATTCCTTCCAGCACTTAAAACTACCTCAATTTTTTTATTGTTTCACACATCAGATTGTGAAGCACAACCAGTCACTTTGCAGCATTAAATCACCATCATCATCATCATTTCTTGAGCATTTGGGCCAGAGCCAAAGCTCAGTGAAATTAGTGGAAAGATTTCCATTGATTTCAATAGGTTTTGAATCAGGCTCTCAATGTATCATGCACCCTCAAAAGAAAATATTTGCAATTTTGCATTTGGTACTGGATTGAGCACAGCCTATTTGTAAAACTCCCACATTAAACCTAGCAGGTAGGAAGATTTTGCCCCAGTTTCAAAAGTTAACACCTGTGTTTGCCTTTCAAATAAGTTTCAGAAGTATCTGTCATTCTGATTCTGTGAAAGCATCAGCTCTCTCTTTGATCCCTATATAGGCTGTTGAAACTTACGGAAAAGACGAACTTATGACCCGTCTTCTCACCAACCTTGACTTCTTTGTCCTTCCTGTTCTTAATATTGATGGCTATGTCTACACCTGGACCACGGTATGTACGCACTTGTTTCTGAACAAGAATCTCAGTGATTGGGCATAATACTATAACTATCCCATAGTATTTACATGCACTTACCCTATTTACATGAATCCAAGATTAATCTAAATTTAAGATGACCCCCAAATAATTAAATTTTCTACACAGAAAATTTATAATTTCATTATAATTTTCCATATATGAAATCTAATTATTGGAGAAGTGTCTTAAATTCATTAACCCCCTCCTGCCCTGCAGGGGGAAAGCAGCAGCAGGGAGGCAGGAAGTCAGGAGGCAGGCAGAACCCCTTGCCTCCTGTTCCCTCCCTTACTTGTCCCCCCCAGCAGGTCCCTGTGGCCTGCCCCACTACCACTTCACCCCGGTATCTGTCTCCTCCCTGTGCCTGCCCCCTGTGATGCTTGCCTCCGCCTGGTGCCTACCCCCCTGCCACTTACCCTTACCCCCTATGCCTGTCTTCTGCAATGCCTGCAGCCCTCACACTGCCTGTTCCCCCTCCCCCCAGCCCCACTGCTTACCCCAAGTTGGGGCTCTGGCTCCAACCTACACCCAGTCAGGGAGCAGTGGTTGCAGTGGTGGCAGCCCCAAGACTAAGTCTGGGACTGGGACTATGTCAGAGTCAGGGCTGGGGCCAGAGATGATGCCACTGTTGCTGTTGCTGCCACAAAGGAAGAGCAGGGCTAGAACCACAACTGAGGGTAAGCAGCAATGGAGGGGAGTGGGGACAGAGGCACTGAGGAGGTGGCACAGAAGTAGAGGTGGTGGGGAGCGCAAGAAGCAGCTGCAGCTCTGACCCCAAGGCAGGGCTGGGGTTGGAGTTCAGGTTAGCACCAGAGCCAGAACTGCAGCAGCTGCCTGTCTCTGTATCTTGTACTCCAATCCAAAACAAAGGGTTCCTCCTCTCCCTGTCCCTGTGTTGAACAGGGAGGGGGGGACACCTCATTTTGGATTCAAATAAATGCAATAATCATTCCATTGCAGAACCGCATGTGGAGAAAGACACGTTCTAGACATGCTGGTAGCAGCTGCGTTGGTACTGATCCCAACAGGAATTTTGATGCCGGATGGTGCAGTAAGTAGTTCCTAGCACTTGATGAAAGCTAACATTGAAAGGTACAGCATGTATCGTATCATGAAGCAGCATCCATGCAGATGCATAGCACTCATTTCTACAATTAGTCTCTCCAGGTCTCAAGTAAGGAAAATTGGTCTGACATTGTAGTTTACACTGCTGATGTTAATCCCATACCTGTTTTTTGCCACTTCTCTGAGCACTAAATGTACATAAAAATAGCATGTGAAACAAAACAAAGTTATAGTTTCATAGTTCAACCATGTTACTGGAAGCACCCTGTTATATATAGCTGACATGTAAGGCAAGGGATCTAATAAAGCACTGAAGCTTTCATATATCCATTATAGTAAATGATGATGAAATACTGGCTTTCCTCTAAGGGCGTGTCTACACAAGACTAATCTACTGCACAGTAAAACATCACTGCCTACCCATGCACACCATTTACTGCAAAGTAAATTAGTCTACAGTACTGTGAAGTTAGTTACTACCTGTAAATGTGCATGTATAAACACTGACCAGAAGCAAATTTGCTCCTAGTGAGCCGCAAAACCACGGGTCCCAGTGGATGGGGAACTCCTACAATCCACTCAGGAGCCAAGAGCCAAACAGCACTGAGACTAGGGACCTCCCTGCTTTTCAGCCAGGGGCTCACTGGGAGTTGCCCCAGAAGCAGGACAGCTCCTGGCCAGCCCCCAGCTGTACAGAAAAGCCCTGATAAACATGGCTCTTGTCCCCATGTTCATGGGGCTGGGAAAGCTCTACAGTGGCAGCTGTCTCCTGGCCCCATGGACCCCTCCCATGTACATAGTGCCAAGAGACAGCTTCTGCTGCAGCCAGCAGAGCTCTCCTGGCCCCATGCACATCACAACTGGCCCCCGTGCTCCCTGCCAACCCCGAGGCTAGTACCCCAAGGGAGTCTGGAGCTCCCCCTGGCTGCTGCAAGGGATCAGAGCAGGGTAGGAGCAGCCCTGTTCTAGGCTGCTCCCATTGGGTGCATCCACACATGCAAGTACGTGCATTTGCAGCAGCTCAAATAGAAGCGGTGCAAATTTGAGCCAGAGCTTTTTCCGTCAGCTCCCATGCCCTGACATGCACTTTGGTGTGGGGCAAATTGTGCCCCTTGGGGCAAAATAACCCTGCTTGGCTCCTCCTGGATCTGCAGCCAGGGGGAGCTAGACCCCTAGGCCAGCACCTGCCCCATCAGTACAAAAAGCGGCTCAAGTAGCTCAGGGCTACTTACTCTCAGGAGCTTCCAGGGCCCAGCCCGTTGGTACCTGGGGACACTACCCCTTGTGCCAGCTGGACTGCTGAAGCAGCCCTGAGAGTTCCCTGCACCCTTTACCCACTGCAGCAGTCTGGCAGTGGGGGCTGCTGCCTGGCTGTGACCTGCTGCACACCTGCCAGACCTGGATGGGGACTGCACAGCCAGTAGAGACACCTGCCCCTCTGGGCCAACCGCCGGTGGGCTGTGGCTGCAGGGTTGGCCTTTGTGCAGTACTACTGCTATGTGTGCCCCTGCTCGGCCATCTGGGCAGCTATTGCCCGGAAGATGTTCCCAGTGTGGTGGCCTGCTTTGAACTGTCAAAGCATGTCCTCCTGGCCCCAAAAGGTCAGGAGGTCAGCCACCTCCATCTGGTTCCAAGGTGCCAGCTCTGAGCCGGCTCCTCTGCCTGGGTCCTGCCACTGGCCTCCCTAGCAGGAATTCCGGTGTTCCCTATTTGAAAACTGAAAAATCCCTGATAAAAAAATCCCAAAGTCACTCTGTAAAATACCCCAAAATCCATATTCTTCCACAACTAAAACAAAAAACCACTATATATAGAGAGACAGAATGAGAGACAGGGATCAGTTGGGCAATGTTTTATTGGTATATCTACAGTGTTAAAGCAATTTGGAAGCCTCTATCATCATAATAAAATGAATTCTAAATACCTATATGTTTTGCTGCCCGCCACAGGGTCTACCACCACCCCCTGCATGGCCCACACGCCCCACCCCCGCTTGCTTCGCTATTCTCCCAGATTGCTGCCTCACCTAGCCCCATCCCCTGCCAGCTCCTGCAGCCCCCCTGATGGCTGCCCCCCCCCCGCCCACCCCCCCGCCCACCCCCCCCGG